AATCGGAAACTCAACCCAAAAAATCTCTAACACACATCCCCGGAGGACCTCCGTGGCACAAATCACTCTGTCGGCAGCTATGGAAACCCGCAGAGGCCGACTCAATGCCTCACGACTAACACTGATATGCTGACTAAAGGCCAAAGATACAAAAGACCGACTCGCACCCGAGTCAAATAACACTAAAGCAGGCACAGAGTTCACAAGGAAGGTACCTATGCATAACATAATATAAGCATAATATCTCAACACCAAAATAAATATATAGAAGGAAACGTACCAGCCACAACGTCGGGTGCAGCGCGGACCTCCTCCGCAGTCAGCTGAAAGGCTCTCCCTCGAGCTCTCGGTGCCTCGGCCTTCACGGGCCGACTCTCTGTAGCTCTGATGGCGGCAGGGGCAGATCCCTGAGATGCTCCGCGCAGCAGCGGACACTCCGCCTTCCGGTGTCCGGTCTGGTTGCAGTGAAAACACACTGCAAACCCCTTAGGGCAGTCCTTGGCCATATGCCCCTCCTTCCACATTTGTAGCAAGATCCTGCTCGACAGACTCCATCATGACCCTTGCCGCACTTCCCGCAAGTGCGGCCCTTCTGGCTCCCGGGTTTGGGATCAGCGGCTTGGCCCGCTTGGCTGCCGCTGGGACTGTGCCGGCCGCCGATCCCTCCCCAGAGACTCCGCCTCCTCCCTGGCCTGTGTCTCAAGCTCAATCTCCCTCTTCCGGCATTTGCCTGAAGCTCAGCAAATGTCCGATACGAGGAGTTCGCGGCGAACTCCCGAATATCCCGTCTCAAAATGCTCAGGTAGCGGCTCATACGTGCCTGCTCAGTGGACACGTGCTCAGGGCAGAACATCGCCCTCTCATGGAACATCCTCGTGATCGCTGTAACTGACTCAGTACCCTGCTTGAGGGTCAGAAACTCCTGTGCCAAACGCTCCCTCTCCACCTGGGGAACGTACTCATCCGGAACATGGTAGTGAACCTCTCCCAGGTCACTGCCGAAAGCTCAGCAGGCGTAAAATGCACCGTCACAAACTTCCACCAGTCCTTCGCTCCCAAGCGAAGCTGGTTCAGCGCGAACCGAACCTTCAGATGCTCAGGAGATGAGCAAGTGAAGAAGCACCCCTCCATATCAGATATCCACCTCATAGCTGCCACCGGATCCTGTGTACCATCAAACTCTGGTGGTTTGGTGTTGCTGAACTCCCGAAACAATGACGCATCACCTCCCTGGGGTCTCGCCGCAGCGATCGTTGCGGTAGCCGCTGCAACAGCAGCCTCAGAAAGAGCGGCGTAACGCTCGTCAAATGTCTCAATCAGCGCGGTCTTAATAGACCCGAACATCTCTGGTATCTCAGCCCTGATGACCGCAGCCACCTCCTCATGAATGATCTGTCGAATCTCCTCATCACTAGCTCCGGCACCCTCCGGCATATGACGTGTCCTCACCATGATCAACCTCTGAAATACAACATGCGATAAATTAGAATTCACTCGAGCATTCTCACACTCGACAATCCACCCCTCCTTGATTCTTGGTATCCCAAAGATTCTTATTTGGACTGTGCACCGCCCCGGTGCTTTCAGTAGTACGGGCCCAATACTACTATCCACACCGTCTCAGTACACACCCCAAATCTTCCTCTTCGGATCCCAAATCCCAAGTACTCTATCATGCGTAGACCACTCTCTAATAGATCTCTCATAAGCCCCTCGCTGCTACCTACTCACTCTCAAGCATCTCATAGCAGCTCACCCCTCCCTAGGCTAAGGCATCACAAATCAGGCCACTCTAGTCCTATTAGCAATACCTAGCCTACTCTAGCATGCAGATACATCATATCAATATCAATATTACATAATATAAAGGTATTTTGGGAATTCACCGTTCGGGCGCTGACTGATCGTACACACGTTTCTTCCTGGAATTTGTTTCTTTTTCAAGAAAATCTTTTACTCTTAGAAAAGTTAGGTTTTCTTTTGAAAATATCTTTCCAATTCCTCAGTTTGAGTTCAAATACTCCCGAAGGTGTACCCAAATCCCTCAAACCAAGGCTCTGATACCAATTTGTAACACCGTAAATTTCAAAACAAAATTTTCAATTTTCTTATAAAACATAATTCGATAAATTCATCAAACAACCATATTAATTATCCAATATAGGTCAATACAAAATCCCAAGATCACAATGTAAAAACTCCGAGTGTGTGTGTACGGATCAAGCCGGCGCCTTCCCGCGGTCGTCACTAGTACCTGAAAAAATAACATCAAACACTGTAAGCACAAAGCTTAGTGAGTTCCCCAAAATACCACGTTTAACACATAATAGCCACTCGAGGCTATAACTCTGTGGGTTCGTGCACCCAAACTCTGTGAACCCTCAGGTTCTAACTCTGATAAACATGCACCACATAAATCACATAGAAATAATGCAGTACAACACATAACATACATAGCATACAATACTCTATCACATAACTCTGGTTACCTACTCAAGGTAAAGTATAGTGAGAAGACTCACCTTGCGTATCTCGGTATCTCACGAATCCTGGAAATCCCTCGTGCTCGATCCTCCGAGCTCTAATTCTCCTATAACATCATATGTCTCTAATTAACACTTTATATCTCTAAGGTTGACTATCCCTAAGAAGTCAACACAGGTCAACTCTGGTCAACGGTCAACGGTCAACTTTGACCGGACTCGGCGAGTCTAGACGTTTTCACCAACCCTCCGAAACTCCCCTCTTACACGTCGACTATTCCCCCCTTACTCGACGAGTTTCACCTGGAAGAATCGCGGGGCCACCCCGACTCAACTCGCCGAGTCTCAAGAACAACTCGGCGAGTCCTAGTTTGACTCAGTCCACTCGTCATTCCTCTCCAACTCACCCTGACTCACTGAGTCTACCCATGACTCGATTGGACCACTCACTGAGCAATCCCAAGGCAATCTTCAAACTACTCGCCGAGTCTGATGAATAGACTTGGCGAGTCCATGCCATGCAACCACTCCAACTTGCTTCTAAGGTCAGATCTGCTTCCACAATCTATAGATCTGGCCTCCCTAGACTGATTCATCACGTAAAGCTTCTATCTTGGTGCCCATAACACACCCCATGGCTCATAAATGGAGTTTTGACCTAAGGCATGAGGATTCCAATCCAAAGCCTCCATTGATTCCCAAAAAGCTTGGGTAAAGGGACACTCTGGACCAAGAGGACACTAGATCTTGCCACAAAAGGGTTCAACAAACCCTAAATCTAGATAAACAACAACAAGGAAGAAGATAACTCGAAATTATTACCACAATAGTGATGCTCTGGACTCCAAACCCTCAGAAGTGGCTCCTCTTGTTTTCCCTTGGCTAGTTCTTCTCCTTCCTTGCAACAATGACACCTCCAAGATCAATAATGGCCTCCTACTTAGCTCCAAATGCTCACACTCGATTAGGGTTTCACTCAAGGGACTGGTGAGCACAAATGACGGCCATTAGGCCCTTTAAATAGGTCTCAAACCCGAGAAATTAGGGTTTCATTACACAGCGCTGACTCGCTGAGTCCATATCCTGGACTCGCCGAGTCCAGGCGCGATCCCGCGACCAGATCCGCGTCCCTACTCGGCGAGTCTGAGCTCCAACTCGCCGAGTCCCCTCTCAAATTACCAAAAACACAAATATACAAGATACCTGAAAAATCCGGCTGTTACACCTAGATCTTGGTTCCCAAGGCTCAATTATCACGTAAAGTTTCGATCTTTGCATACATGCATGGCACTTTGGGCTTGAAATGCCAAAAACATGCTTTATTTGGAGTTTCTCATTCAAGGATCTATTATGGCTGAATAAAGCAGGGAACTTTCGACTCTAGGGACCTCATAAGGTCTAGATCTGATGTCCATATCTAAAAAGGTGCTCAAAACCTTCAAGGTCCCAAAATAAGATAGAAAGAAGCCATAAACTCTAATAACAAGAGACCTACTCAAAATAATAGGAAAGGTACGAACTTTATACCTTGAACAGACGTGTCGTGAAGGGGATTTCACCGCCGGTGATCCTTTACTGATGGCAAATGTGCGATTTTTGTGGCAATTTTAAGAATGGAACGTTGTCAAATGGTCGACAACAGCTAGTTTTGGCATATTTCATTTTTTTCTTTTTTAATCTACTATATATACAAATCACATTTTCAAAAAATCACCACACTATACACTTTCAACAACATTTTTTTCTTTGAAAATGTCTTCTTCCAACAATCCAAACTCTTTCAAACAAAATGTTCAAAACCAAAATGTTAACAACGCCTACGCACTTTTCGGCTACGATTCGTCGTCACCTCCACCTTGCCGGCCACAAATGGATGGTGTTCCTAGCTATTATTCACGATTCCAAATGCCCCAAACAACTCCATTTCCAATCTCAACCTCAAACCCAATTTACATCCTAATCGCCATTCACACCTTCAACCGAACACGAAGAACAACAACAACAACCTCAACAACAAAAGAAAGGGAAGGCTGATCCGATAAGATGGACACAAAAAGAAGAAGTTGAGTTAGCAAGGGCATGGGTTGACATATCTGAAGATGGTGGCACGGGAAAGGATCAAAAGCGTGATTAGTTTTGGTTACGTATCACAGAGCGCTTTTGTAGTGAAATGGGTCGAAGTCCAGATTATCGGACCTCCGACCAATGTAACTCCAAATGGAATCTTATGAACAAAGTCGTCACACATTGGAATGTAATTTACACAAACTTTGAGAAGCAATGGGCTAGCAGAGAAAGTGAAGCGAGTTTGTTGAAAAAAAACACACACTACATTCCAAGATGATATGCAAAAGTTTTTTAAGTTTATTCATGTGTGAGAAATTGTTAAAAGAAGCATTAGGTGGAGGAAACTTGCAACACGTGAAGAAATTGCAAATCCACCAAAAAGAAGCTGGACATCTTCATATTTGAGCTCGTAACAAGTCTCACCGGATGGTCGCGTAGACGTTAATCTCAATGATGATAATGATGACATTGAAGAAATACGCTCGCCTCCTCATCCAATGGGAAGGGACACAACAAAAGCTAGAGCAAAAGGGGAAAGCGACTTCTTCAAATTCTTCAGTCGGAACCGAGTGTTCAATCAGATCAGAAGCAATGATGACACAGTTGAATTCAACTTTGGAGAGACATATGGCTGAAACTGTCCGATTTACCGAGTATACATTGTTAATGCAAGACGTGAGACACCTCGACCACAAAGATCAAGAAGCGGCAAGAATTATGAAAGCATCGATTCGGGAAAAATATAATCTGAAATGTAACTGGAAATTCTATGTTGTCTTTTTTTTTTCTAGGTTTTTAAATTTTAATGTCATGTTTTATTTTTATTTTTTAGGTTTTTAATGTAATTTTAATTTTCAATTTTTTTTTATTTTTAGGATTTTTAAATTGTAATTTTTAAGTTTATGTTAATTTAAATTTTAGTATGGTTTTTAAAAAAAATTAATATTTTTCCAAAATGAAAAAAAAAAAAAAAAAAACAACGTTCATGGGTAAAAGAATGTGAAAATTGTAAAAGTCTATGTGCTACTATATGAATAATAAAAAAAAATATAAAAAAAAAATAAAAAAACAAACATGACCCCCTTTAGCCTTATGTCATGCCAGCAAAAGGATGCAAAAATGCCCGTAATAAACCAGATTGTCAAAGTAGATTGTTTTTAACCCAACTAACCAAACACAAAATATTGTAACCACAAACTTACATCACCATTTATTCAGTTAATTGAACTTAAATTATCTCCTACCTTTTATACCTACATTTATTCCTACCTAATAAAATTTTAATAAATCACCATTCAATTTAATTTTATTTGATATATTCCTAATATAACCTTGACAAGTGAGTTAAAAAAATATAAAATGATAACACTTGTCATAATTTGATTGGGTAGGAACATTTTGTCATAATTTGATTGGGTAGGAACATTTATATACATAAAAGATAGAAATTAAACCTTTCTATTTTATTGTGTTAGGGATAGTAAACTACTAAACTATAATTTTAATAGCGGAAAATAATGGAAACAAATAAAATTAGAAAGTATCAAACTTGATTAGAAGTTTTGGAACTATTATTATTCTTACACAACGTTATAGTTGGCAATTTTGAATAATAATAATTTCCTAAAAGCCAAGATCAATTTCAGTGACTAGATGGATGATAATTTATTTGGCAGGTGGCAATACATATAAACTAAAAAAGTAAAAACTTTACGAGTATACAACATAAAACATGCCAACCTTTTTACAAAATAATTAAACCAATAATATATATGTAAATATGTGTATTATTATTTACACGAGTTCTTTTATAATATATGGGGAAATAAGGTGAAGCAGCAGTAAAAATTATCATCTCCAGTATTGTGCCCAACGATGAATAGTTTCAACCATCTGCGGGAACAAAGCACTGACACTTTCGTTTATAAGATCTTGAAAGAAATGGATACACTCTTCATCATCCAAATCCAACCGAAATTTCTCTTGAAGCTATACATACAACAACAGAAAACATATAAATAAATGAATAAGCTCTGAAATAATAATAATTATTATTAGTTATAGCATCTAGTTACCTTTAAAATGCCCTTTTCAGGATCAGAAGCTATATCCGGAATATTAGACCCCGCCATTAAATGAAAAAGGTTCAATATCAAATTACTTGATTTCCGCAGGATATTATACGCCTCACAGCAATACGATTTAAATCGCGTATAATATTGGCTGCACGAGAAAAAACAAAACTAAATAAATAAAAAGTCACCACAGGCTTATTCATAATAATAATTGTTGGAAATTACCTTTCTGCCCCTCCCATAGCCTCCACCATTTCTTTACAGAGCTTCATAGGTGGTGGGAAGGGTTTTGGATCACGACCCAAAATAAAACCAAAATCAACATGAAAAAGCCGCCCATCGTCCCGAAGTAGAAGATTGTCAAGATGCCTGTTGATTTAAAACAAACAATTACATATTATATTATATAAAATAAAATAAAATATATGGAAAGATTGAGTGAGAGTGACACCTGTCTCCAATGCCGAGTATGTAGGTGATGACTGAGTAGCCAGCACAGCTTTTGATGAATGTTTCGAGACACGTGGCGGTTATCCCAAAGGGTCCCTCTTCATCTGGATGAAACTTCTGTAAGTAGCTTGTTATACTTCGGTGTTCTGATAGAATCTGTATAATATATATATATAATTCAAAATATCCAATTAACTCATAGATTTCTTTATTCTATATATATAGCCTTATTTATTTATTTAGTAAGATACGCAGCAGCACCTGAGCTAGAGATTTAGAAGGTATGAATTCCATCATGCCTTCATCATGTCCGGTGGCTAACACTCTGTATGGCGTTAAATGCAGATCAAGATTTTCCAGTTTAAGTAGTCGATCCATGAGCGATACCATCTGAACAACCTACATGAACATCACCAAATCTAATAATCAGATGAACACCTGTATCTGTTAGGGCTTTTTTTTTTTTTTTTAAAATAAAAATACCAATTGATCTTGACGAAGATCATCCCCTTTCTTGAAAATGATCTTTAAACATCCACCGTTGGCTGTTCTAAATGCAAGGCGTAAAGGATGCAAAGCGCTTTTGAATATTGACGAGTCTGATGGAATAATCCCCGTGATAAGAACAATCGGTGCCAAAGGTGATCGTATAGGCTATAAATATATACTATTTTAATAACAAACTTCTTCAGGAAGTTATAATAATAATATTCTGCAAATCAAACACATATTACCTCCTCGAAATACGTAAGTTCGGAAAGAAGGCCGGAAAGCAGATGCCGGAGTTTTTCAATCTTCTTCTGAGTTCCTCCCCTTACATTCCTTACATCTCTCATTATAGAACACAGCTGAGCTGTCAGTTCAGTCTGCCGAACCAAACTCTGCCACAACTTAAACCCATCTCCACCATCACCCGCCCCCATTCCCAACTGTAAAAATCAAAATTCATTCATGTATTCACTCGTAACTATTTATTCAAAAGAATTAGATAGAATCCACACCTTGATCATATTCTCCTCCAGCATCTCATATGAAGAGTAAAAACGTTTTGCATACGCAGGATCATGAAGTTCAACAGCCACATACCATCTAAGGAAGCTAGCAAGCTCAATGTTGGACAATGCTGCAAAATTTTATTAAAAACGATGTTGAATTCTTAGAAATGATTAAATTATTGAAAAAAAAAAAAAGTTACTTAAGATTTTTTTTTTTTCATACATCGTTGCACGAGGAATTGAGAAAGACGGGATTTATCTGAGCGTTCAAATCGAAGAGCTTGAACCAATTGAAGTAAGTAACATTGTAGTTCTTCATCATCGGCTCTTTCAAGAACACGAACAGCATGTGCACGAACCTGTTGAAAAGTCAAAAGTCAAAATAAAACTGGTCAAGAGACGAAGTTTAATAAAAGGAGATTCATTTATTGATTATTGCATACGTCTTCACTCTCGAAAACAGGAGACAGGAGCTCTAATGCATCACATACATCAATCATTTCCCATCTACCCATCAATTCAATCGCCTGTTTTGCTTCCTGAAAAAAGAAAATGATTTATGTATTATACTGAAATCCAGGGAGAAAAATAATATTATAATATAAATATCATAACATGCATATGTACCTGAACATCACTCCACTCAACACATCGAAGAAACTTTGTTAAAGCTCTTTTTTCAGACATTAATGAAAACCGGAATTTCCATAACAACTGTCTTTCATCACCACTCAATGTTCGTGTTGGTGGGTACTTAAGTATCCTCTGTATTGACCTAAAAAACAACATTTTGATCAATTACATTCCATACGTACATTTAGAAAACTAAAGGAGTTAGTAGGAATAGAGAAAAAGGGCAAATAGGTAAACTGGTAAAGGGTTAGTGTCTTAATACATTAAGTCAAGTTTGTGGCTAGACCCATTTAGTCATTCTGTGACTTCTGTCCAGATTACATCAAAAAGAAACAACAAAGTATAGCTGTCCAGATTTAGTGCTTAACCCATTAAGTCAATTAAGTCAAAAAGAAACAGACCCTTACTTTCTTTCAGTAGAACTGGGCTTAAGATCTCTATCAATGATACCACGATTCAAACTCCTTGCAAGCTTTAACTGCTTGTGTTCAGAGGGGTTGATTTTTCCAAGTTCCGGGTCCCACACAGTAACTAGTTCATTAGTTGAAGCTATAGATGCAGGTATTAACAAATTTGGCCCAGACTCCTAACATGTCAAAACAGAAAAAGTCAAAAAACCAACATACTTTTGGGTCAAACTAACATAGAATTGATAAAACCACACACCTGAAGAACAACACGATGTTCAAAACTACAGAAATCAATGAGCACAAACAAATGAGAACTTCCATTTTTACTGCTTTCAAGATCCTTAATCTTATCCATGGATTTAAAAGCAAGTCGATCCAACCAGTCAACTCGCTGGATTTGACCCCTTTCATACTTATTCACAAGCTTCTCCAAACGCTCCAACTCCCCACGTTCATCTTTAGGAACCTACACAGGGTAAAAACAATGGAACAATGAGCAATCAAAAAGTAAAAAGTTAAAAGTTAAAAGTTAAAATCATAATGTTGTGTTTGAAGATCATGGAAAGAAAAACAAAACCTTTCCAGGAGTTGTAGAGTGAATAGATCCATCTGCTTCCTTTCCTTGCCAAAGCCTAAGTTTGTGTTTCCCTGTTTTGAGTTGTTTTTTCATATTAAAGAGATGAATGGTAGCTCCACCAATTAGTCCCTCATTTTTCCCACATGAAACATCCCAAACCTACAATAAATGGGATTGAACAATAAACAATTTGGAAAATCTTGGTTTTACCAATATGAAAGTCGTATAAATCTTGAAAAAATAGTGAAACTGATAGCTTACAGTTATTGCAAGTTGAGAGTTTGTAGTTAAGTCTCGATATTTGGTACTCAATGTAATGAGTTCACCCCAGCAGAAAGGTGGACCAGAAGACTCTAGTCTGAACATAGTTTAATCATTAATTTGGAATGAAGTTGAAAAGAAAAGATAAATACAAACAATAATACATAGAGCTTGCTACAGAAACCTTGTTCTCATGGGAAGCCCAAATGGAGCACCATCAATGTACAATGCACATTCAACATATAGCTCTGGTTTTTTGTCTTCAACGATGTTACCTATATCAGCTGCATATTCAAGCAAGGGTGCTAATAAATTTGACATATGAATGCTCTTTTAGTGGGGGCATGGGGTAGATTTTGATGTTCAAGTTCAAGCACATCAAGTAGGTTTACCGAATTACTCAGAATTTATTTCCTTCCTAAACAAAAAGGAAACTTACTGATGATTAAAAAAATCAATCTCGTTTCTATCTATATCCTATTATCGTCAAAATTGAAAAATTCAGTAGCGTGAACTATTCAATAAATACGACTCCCATAAATTACTGGTCCCTTGAATTCATACGAATTTGAATAAACAATGAACTCTAACAGATACCAAAAAATCCTATTAGGGCTTCGTAAACGTTAATTGAAATTAAATGACGGGGATTGCAAGGAAATTCACCTGGATTAGTGGAATTAGTCGAAGGTAAGTGCCCTTCTAACTTTTCGATTCTGAAAGTAACCGGAAGATTGATATCGCAAGACAAGAAGAATCGAAACTCGTTCCCAGTCATTATTTTCTCAAACGGTTCACCAAATCAAATTAATCTCATCGTAACAGGATTAGGGTTTGGCCAATTTGATAAATACGAGACTGTTTTCTTGAATCAAACATGCGAGCTACAGCCAATTATGTGCCTTCGCTTGTACTACAGCTTGATGAACTCACGACTGGATCAAAGTGAAAGAAATCATAATACGCACATCAGAACATCTTATATTCGATTGTATCTATCAGTATGCGTGAAAGAAGATCATTCATCGGAGTGCTTCACCTTCTTATTCTAACTTTTTTTATTAAAAAAATAAGATAAGATAATTAACTTTTGATATATATATATATATATATATATATATATATATATATATATATATATATATATATATATATATATATATATATTATTGTTGAGAATGACAATTATGTAAGAAGAAGATAAATATGAAATTTATTAAAATCTTTGAAGTAATTCAATTTAGAAGTTGAATTATAAGAACATTGAACAATTACAATGTTTATATATGATACACAACGATGTAGTATGGTGAGTTTGGGTACCTAATCTTATATACCCTTAAGGGTATATTCACTTTTCCCTATATATATATATATATATATATATATATATATATATATATATATATATATATATATATATATATATATATATTAGGTTACAACCCGTGGAAACCACGGGTAAATATTTATAAAATTTTATCAAACTAATAAAATATAAGTTTTATTTAGATTTTTATATTATTGATTATATAAAATTAATATTTATTTTTATTTGTATAGGTTAAAAAAACATTTTTATTCAAAAGATCTATTAATTAGATCATATGATATAGATTTTTGGTTATTAATAAAACTCATTTAAAATGTATTTTTATTCTCTTACATTAATTTATTAGAAAATAAATTATTACTATAATAAATTTATTTGATTAATACAAATTTATGAAAATTGATGCACTAAAAATAATAAGAATGGATGGACTAATTTAACTAACTAAAAAATATATTATCAATTTGACAATTTTTTCTATTACAAACGGTTTTTTTTTCTCATCACCTCACAAAAACTTATAAAATAGATTAAAACTTTTACTTATTTGTTGCATCATATAGCTAGATACACAAGTCAAGTATACACATGGTCACATATAGGTAAATCGAAGCCTCAAAGATAGAAATTTTGCAATACCCATGAATATCAAATAAGATTAAGTTGAAGCAAACCATACCAAATAGCTTTTGTGGTGCTTGAAAATATTCATAGGAAATAATTAGCATAACGGTATAAACTTGAAATATTAAAACTTGTTACGAATTATTTTTTGAAAATGTATAAATTTACAGAATGATAAACATTAAAATGGTGACTGCAAAATCTATTGTTTAAAAGAAAATAATTCTCTTTCCCACTGCGTTTTGTACAACGTTATACTTCAAAATTTTCCATTCTATTAAACCTTGGGGTGCCCTATATCAATGATTATCCCCTCCACTGTGTTTTGTAAAAAGATTTTGTCTTTGTGATGATACAATTCCCGTTCCAATCAGAAACAAATGCATATTGTTAAGCCTTATGGTTCATTGGCATCATAACATAGAAAACAAAGTGCTTCATTAATTCAAATCAAAACAGATGGAAATTATAAGGCATTGTACTAAAGCAAGGTAATCCCAACAGAAAAAATCTTTTGGTGTTTTAAACCGGCAAAATGAATAACAAAATCATCCCCATGATTTCATTGCTCTGTACTTATTACATAGTTTAGTATTTGTCGGTCTCCATTAAACATCCATCTGAATCTCTCTAGTATTAACTGTGAAAAATAAAAAATTACCCCCATGAGTTAGTCAAGCATATGATTGAATAGTTGGTGGGGAAATGATAATGCAAGACAAACTGCCAACAGTAAGAAATTTATGCAATCTAAGTATCACGAATTTCATTGCTTTTTACTTAGTACATAGTTTAGTATTTGTCGGCCTCTATTAAACATCTATATGAATCTATAAAACTAATATTAACTATGAAAAATAAAAAATGACCTCCATAACTCAGTCAAGCAGGTGATTGAATAGTTGGTGGGCAAATGATTTTTACAGGTGTAAAAGCAGCAGTCATGATTTTTACAGACTGAAAATCAACAACTTTTTCCATGGCCTTCATGGAAGGATTCAAGACCCACGCTTCTGTAAGAAATGAATGCACACAAAAAAAATCCTAAAAGAGATGGACAAAGAGATAGACAAAGGATGGAGAGAGAAAGACAGGAGTGGCATCGACATTATTTAGATCTAGGGTTTAATGGGTTTCTTGAAAAATAGATACAAAGAATGAGGGAAATGGAAATAGATACAAAAAATTACTGATATATATCGACTTCATATTTGGAAATTCCAAAGAATTAGGGCAAAAGGGGAGAGACAGAGCATAGAAAAAGAGACGGTGGACTCAATGGCAGAAACAATATACACAAATTTGTTTGTTGAACTTACTGATTTATCGGCTTCAGTTTAGAATGTTGAGCGTTATTTGTGGAATAGATTAGCATCAAATTTGTTCTGATCTTCAGTTTCAAAACCAAAATCTCGATGAAATGGTTTGGGATATATTCGGTACTTCTAATTGAAACTTTTAGGCGGGAAAATATTACACAGAGGAGCTATGAAGTTGCCACGTGGACACAATGGTACTGTTTTATTAACATAGAGGATATATATATATATATATATATATATATATATATATATATATATATATATAAACTATTTAATATTTTAATATATGATATTATAGTGTTGTGGTTCGGTTTTTGCCAAATTACAAATTGCACCATCGTTTTTTGTATTTGCTTTGGTTTTTTTGGTTTTGATCTATTGCAGTTTTTTGGTTTCTTTTCGATCGATTCAGTTTTTTCTTACGCCTAATATTAGTATTTTCGCAATAGTTACTATATTATTATTTTAAATAATAAAAAGCATTTTATTGATGTGATAATGACTAATATTATCTTTGTAACTTGCACAACCTTTGATAGTTGGTTTCTTAGACATCGGAAAACATAAATATTATCCTTAAATATGTTAAAAACAAATATTATATTATTATTTTAGACAAAATTGTAAAAATGGTTCCTCAGGTTGCTAAAATTCTATGGTTTTGATAAAAAAACGAAATATTGGTGCATCGCTGGTCTAAAATTGGATCTTTTTATTGTTTCTGGTCCCTTTCAATATAAAAAGACTATTATACCCTTATATATATTTTTTTAATTTTTTTATATTTGTTCAAATGTTTTTTATTAATTAAATTTGAGAAAAGGTCTCTCTCTCTCTCTCTCTCTCTCCCTCTCTCTCTCGTAAAAAGATGAAAGAATAAGGTTTTTGGGGGTCTCCTTATTTGTGTAATCTGGTAGCAAAGAAGAGAGATAAATCAACCTGCAAATCATCTTCCTAAAATTGTTTTTCGCCATTACTTTAGTCGTCATACAGGCTACGATGAACATCAGAACTTAAATCCACCATATATGTGTATACTATAGCACTTATAACTCCACCTCCTTCCAACGATACCATCCTCCCATCTCAGTTTTCTAATCACAACTAGCACATCTTCTTCCTTGAATATAAAACTTCTTATTTCATCATCTTCCATTGATTTCATCCAAAAATTGGCCCAGATCTGTAAATATGTGTGTGCATTTTTATGAGAAAGAAAGAGAGAGACGTATAAAATTGAGTTTGGTTTTCACAATTCTTCTATATTATAGACATCGATTGTGATGGGGAAGTGTTCGTTGTATGTTCTGTTTCTTCAGGGGTTCACGATGAGAGAGACATTGGAGTGTGGGTTCACAATGGTGGATTTGGGGCCTATATGGATTTGGGGAAAATCGAAACGGGGTCAATCAGGTCTTGGAATCGGAATCACAAACAAGATGCTTAAGCAGTGATCTACAAAGTGGATGAACGGAAGGCAAATCTGAAGGAGCAATGTAAGCAACAACAGTCTTGCAGGGGAGGGCTTTCGGCAGTGGTGCTCGAACGGAGGAGGTGAGATACGCGAGGGATGGCATCGATGATGGTGAGGACTGCCCACCACAACAACGGCGGCGAGTGGTGGTTGCACAACAGTTCTGCTGCTTCCGTCTTTCCAGTCCAATGGTGATTGACGATGAAGAGAAATAGTAGCAACGGTGGATGGTGGTGGAGGTGTTCAGGGTTGGGCCTGGTCGACCAAAATAGTGGCGGTAGCGGGTGGTGTTGGGCAGTAGGAAGTGGTGGAGTGTGACTAGAGCAAGACGAATGAGGGTCGGTAATCACTGATCGTCGATGAATCAAGAACTTGAGGGATTAGGTTGTAATGTTGTATGAAGTCGGATACGAGAGAGAGAGAGAGAGAGAGAGAGAAAAGAAAGAGAGAGAGAGAGAGAGAGAGAGAGAGAGAGAGATAGAGAGAGAGGTGGTGTTATTTTCTTTTTATTTTTTAATGAAAGTAGTAATAAAAAGTTAAAAATAAATAAAAAAGAATTATCAAAGGGCATATTCGTTATTTCAAGTTGGGTTAGGACTAAAAACACACAAAAATGTCAACCTTAGGGACCAAAATCACACAAGGTATCTAAAATTGGACCAGTAGTACACCAACATTTCGTTTTGGACCAAAACTACAGAATTTTTTTGAGTAAATTACACGAATGGTCCCTATGGTTTGCGGTAATTTGCGTGTTTGGTCCCTAACTTATTTTTTTAACTCGGAAGGTCCTTATGGTTTGTTTTTGTTACGCGTTTGGTCCCTACCGTTTAATTTTGTTACACGTTTGGTCCCTATCTTATCTAAAAAGACTATTATTTAAAGAGGAAAAAATGATGGGGTAGGTGAGGTACGGTGAAGGGGTGGGATTAGGGGTGTGTTTATTTAAATAAATTAAAAAATTAAGGGAAAAATAGTCTTTTTAGGTAAGATAAGGACCAAGCGCGTAACAAAAACAAATAGTAGGGACCTTCCGAGTTAAAAAAATAAGTTAGGGACCAAACGCGCAAATTACCCTAAACCATAGGGACCATTCGTGTAATTTACTCAATTTTTTTTATAAACCACATGGACCATTTTTACAATTTTATCATTATTTTATACAAATAAACTATTTTATGGTATGATAATGCCTAAAATAATAAGCCATAACCATCAAACCATTTAAGCAAGTCAATAATATCGACACATAAAGATTAAAATTTAACTTATTCACAAATATGTTTATAACTCAGACAAATATGTTTGAATTTCTTAACATAAATT